GAGAGCTTCCGGACATTCCAAGGCATTCATGTAGATTTTAAATATGACAAGAAAGAGTTGTTGTCAGCTTATCGGGATGCAAAATGCGAGTAAAACATTTTGGTCAGGTGCCCAAATGCATAGGTAGCGCCGAGTGTAGCGTGTAACAGTTCAATGCTTTGGACTTGTGCTTATCGATGAGTGTAGGCTAGTCATGACAGGAGTTCCAATGGGAATTCGCGGTTATGTTTGATGAAATCCTCAATGATGTAAACAGCCTACAACAATATCAATCTCATTCTGATCCATGAATATTGATTCCTCGATATTCTGGGACAAACTATGAACTGGCGACTGACACTAGTTTGCAATTGCTTTACCTGTTTGTCATTTCTATTAACACTCTTTTGAACGCTCTGCGTTTCGAGGATGTTCTCCCTTGGATTTGACTCTGTTGATCATCCCACAACATATTTCACTTATCCTCTCTCTTGGACAATCTTTTTGAAATTGTCCGGCAGCGTATCTTCGTTTTTTCACTAGGAAACTTTGTTTGAGTTGTTCGACAACAAAGTCCCGACTTGTGCTCTCTCTCCAAGATAACTTTGTTGTAATTGTCCGATCATGTATTTCACTGTCTCCTTATTTCGGTAACCTTATTTTGATTGTCCACGACAGCGTATTTCAAGTTTACTTTCACTTTGTCCGATCATGCCACAACAGTGTCGCGATTTAAGAGTAGCCAAAATTTGGATTTTTATTGTAATGAAATAAACCGTACGAGCTTTTTTTACTTTACACAAGGCCTAGATGATAAGAAGACTACTTACATTTTAAGTATGCTGTTTCGATTTTTTCGCAAATATTTTCAAAGTCGATTTCATTACATGCCAACTTATTTGTCCTTTCATTTGGACACCTTTTTGCGTAATCACTTGTTCTTACTTAATTTTTTACTGCTTGATAAATTGTCAAGAACAGTTACATTGAGTTCTATAAGTATGAGAATTGCATGACGTCTTGATATTTCAAGGTGACTCATTCGAAAAGTGATGGCGGTGATCGAACTTACCATCTAAAGATAAAACCGAAATGAAATATTTGTAGATTTCTTTGAAAAACCAAGAAATATACATCACACATCAAATTTTTCAAAAAAAGAAAAAAACATGTATAAAAAGTAAGGCGTGCAGGTCAGATTCTCCCTGGTAGCATAAACATTGCTCTCATACATGTCATACAATTAATATTTGAAATACAACTATCATTCGAACTTATGATCGGACGTAAATATGATGTTACTTTATCCATCATACTTATGTCCGATCATAAACTTGAATAATAGTTGGGTTTCAAATATTAATTGTATGACTTATACGATACCAATGTTAATGCTACCAGGGGGAATCGGACCTACATGTCTTACTATTTATACATGTTTTTTTCTGTTTTGAAAAATTCAATATGAGACGTATATTTCTTAGTTTTTCAAAGAAATCTACAAATATTTCGATGCGATTTATCTTTACACCGTCATTTCAATCACCGTCATCATTGTACGAACGAGTAACCTTGAAACATTTATTAAGCAGTAAAAATTAATTTCCATCATGGGTGACAAAATGTTTCTACTTTCCCGTTGAATGTCGAGTCTCACATCATACGAATGCAATTTTAGGCGATCTGTCTGCATGAGGTATTTTAGGAGGAGGAGGAGGCACATTTTTATACCGTTTCCAATAGTTTTAATTTTGCTTCTTTAAAAGACAGCATTAGCTACATTCTTTGAGTAAGAGATAACTATAATCTACCTTAACCAATCAGATTTAACAGAATGCGGTCGATTAAAATCTAACAACACTATCCAATTAGAAAACCATTGAATTGTATGCTTTGATAAGAACTTTGAATCATTTCATTATGAAATTTTCGTTAAAGGCCGAGACAGCTACTTTTGAGGCCAATAAGATCTCAACAGTATCATAACTTTATCTATTTTCTCATTCTGATTTATCAGAGTCCCTCTTTACCTAATGCTTTTGAGAGATCCAAAAGGATAGTAAAGGCTGTGGATCCCACAATGCTATTTTCACAGTGATTTTCTAATTATCTAGTAAACTATGAATATTGGACTAGACACAGTGTAGTATTTTTGTATTGTCCAATTCAGAGAGTCCAATGAAATGAGCTCTGACACCCATGGTGAGTTTTTATGCGCTTGTAGGCTTACTTCGACCTAACAGATGAACATATTTTACAGGGGCATTTACTGTGTGCTTTTTCATCAGGAATGTTCTATTTTCGTTCTATACCAGGACTCTCATTTATTTAAGAAATACTCGACTATAAAATCATCGTTACAAGCAATCGCTCGTTCTCATTACAGCAGAGAGGAGACCTACTTCATTCAATTGATTTCCAACTTTGTGGACATGCAAATCTCCAAATGTTCTGTACAATGTATTTCCTTTGCCCTTCTCTAATAATCGGATTTTAGGACAGAAATAATTGTTTTGTTGAAAAGTCGACGAGTCATTAATGACAAATTTACCTTTGAAAAAATCCGAAAACTTGCATTCTATGTTATTATGGTTGTATACATCGCAAACAATTACATTCAATGACTTTAATTTTCATTCCTAGTTAACAACTGATACGTAGGGTCCAAATCATGCCATATCATTATAAAATAGTAAGAAAAGATATATGTATCATTTGACATTTTGATATCAGACGAACGCGATATTAGGCATCAATAAATTATGCTCACATTTACAGATATTGTCTTTGATGGTTTTATTTCGTGTTCTTTAGAGAAGCGTGGAGCCTTAAGTATTGGCTCAGTAACTCGATTCTTCAGGTTATATGTGCTGATGTCCCATTAGGCAGATTGGATTGTCTTTGATGGAGGGTATTGTATTCGTAGGGAGCTCATTATACCATCAGTTGCGTTTCTAGATCTAGAGGATCTAGACAATGTATTGCTGAATTACCTGAATTACCTGAATTACCTGCCCATGCATGTTTAATCGCTCAAACTGAGTATTACATATCTTGGCAAAATTTAACGGAATTAATTACTACATATGATTTATCTAGAATAATATAAACTTGCAGCCTAATAATAGCTTGGTGTTTGCTGCCAATCTAGTGGGCCATACGCCATTATCGAATTCGACCAATTAACCTTTGAAGACCCTAGATCTCTCTGGTCTTCCTTGTACATTTGCAATATGATTTTAACATTAATATTTTATATCGTAAATGCTTTAGGTGCATGTTCTAATTGACTAATGAATTACTCCTGGTGCAGGGCTTCTGCTGAAGGACTTGCGTAATCAAACGAAATGCCTCAAATCAATACTGGGAACTTTGGAAGTTTCAATCTTATTGCTCAATAGTAAGTACCGATTCGTTCATTTCACTCTAACACTCATTTAAGTATGATTTGGATTCAAACGAGTTCAAACTGCATTCCATTAAGGTAATTGGTTCCTAATTGCCACCAGCTATGTTTTCTACTAACTACTGTCAGACCCAACTTCTTTCGTTGTGCTACACCCTATCTGAGCTACCATCTGACCTGTCCGCTATTTACTGATGGCTTCCTTAACTTTCCAACATACTTCACCAACCCACTTTCAAGAATCAATCCCAGCAATCACAAAAACCGATCCAAACATCATCTCAAATTATACTTATCAAGTGATTTTGGAATCAAATGTTTCAATAATTTCGTTCAAAGTCACGCACGTCTATTGATGTAAATTGCTGAAACAATTGGATGAAAAGCCAAACGCACTTGGTGATCGACCAGTCTGAGGTCTTCGAACCTAAGCAAAGACCATCGGGTAGAAGCAATCACTTCAGAAAATAAGGTTCGATTGTGGGTCATTTAATCTAGCCAATCATCCTAAAATCCACTAAGAAATTGATTTTCATTTCGTTATTTTTATGTTATATTTGGGAAAGTATAGATCGATTGGAAGATTTGGGTAATAAATGTATTTTTGTCTAACCTTTAAAAGCATCACGATTTTTTAGCTAATGACACTCTCTTATTTCGTTAGGATAACACGAGTATGCAGAGGGCCCGAAGACAAATGTGTTAATCATAACGGAGTTTACCAACGATAAACATTCAATAAGTCAGAAAATTGCATTTGCCGCACGAAACTAATGCTTTATTACTTTCGCTAATTTAAGAGATGGAGAATCTTTGTCACGAAAATTAATTATGATTGTCAATAATGAAAGTAAATGTTTGAGAAAGGATAACTCTTAATCCCCCGACTTACGGACTATATTTTTATCATGGCTGTTATTCCATTAGTGATAGTCCCGCTGTTGTACTTCTGAATCCCAAAACGATGCCGTGTCTATATGCCCTCATAGATCTTGTAAACCTTTCGTGTGACAGGGTGATATAACAAACAGAAATTGGGATTAGTATATACGAGACATTCAAGAAGTAATACCTACTTCTAAGTTGGTGCAATAGGAAATTACCAATACAGTTTGTGTAATGGGATTTTACAGCTATATAGTTTTTGTCATATTGCTTGAATTCTTCCGCAAAAATCTTTCGCAATAAATGAGAAACACGTATCAGACCTTCTTCGCTCAAAATTATTCTTAACAATCAACATAGTGTTAATGATTAAATACTATTAATACGCAATGTTTATCAAACACATTGTACATAGGGCAGCCATGCATCGGGTGCCATTTTGATACTGCTTTGTTGGAATTAGAACCCATTGCCGCACGAAAGTAATTTGAATCTATCATTATTAGAGTAAGTTCACAACTCCTCAGGTTAAGCTTACAGAACACAAGAACACATTTAGCATCAGTAATCATAAATATACACTCCATAATTTCCCCGTAGATAGGCTACATTTGTATGCGCTTTGGACCATCTATCAGATACAAAACATCACTTTCCAAAATCGTGACCTGGTGTCGAAGGCGATTCTTACACATTGCAATATTGTCTTTAGGAATAAAAAGCTACTTACCGGTGTAGTCGATTACTCCATCTTTATTAAGATCAGCATCTTTGAGCATTGCGTCAATCTCTTCCTCAGTAAGTTTCTCTCCAAGCTCAACCATGGTTGTCTTCAGCTCTTCTCTCGTTATCTTCCCGTCGTTGTTCTTGTCGAATACCCTGAATGCCGCTCTCATCTCCTCTGCTACGGTTGTCGAGTGATCAATCACGCTGTGGAAAACTCTCATCAGCTCCAATAGTTCATCAAAGCTGATCACTTCATCGGCTAAATAAGAAATAATTTCGTTTTGAATATGCTTACAAGCTACTGGGGAGCATGTATACACAAAGTGAAGACCCACATTTGATATGTGTTTTTTGCTTCATCGTTTGTACAATTTTCCTATTTGATCAACAATGCAAAATGTGTTGGAGACCGTCTCGGTATGTTTCATTTCATTTCAATTATTCAAAAAAAAACAATAAGGAAAGTCCAAGTTAACATAAATGTAGGTACGGGTGCCAAGTTCATCTTGATTTCCGTGGTTTTAATCTCGTGCCACCCTTGAAGTTGAAAATGTTCCAAGTTAATTTAGGAATTCAAACACATACCATCACTATCGACTAGTTCCATCATAGTGTTGATATCACTCTCTGGTATATCGGCCCCGAGTCTCGTAAGGAAATCCAAGAGTTGTTTTTTCGTGATGCCCCCGTCGTTGTTAGTATCAAGCATGTCAAATGTTTCTCGATATGCTACAAATATATTTATACACTGGTATGTATATTTTGGGGATCGACTGATGGGCATCAATCGCTGCACCGATAGACAAATTGAATTCTAACTTTTCCAAACGTTATATGCCATAATTTTATGATCATTGTAAGTCTTGCATCATGTAAATTTGGAAACCATTGTCATAATTACTCTGTTTATGAAAATCCCACTAGACAGTACCCAATTCTGAAATTATACTTATAATTTGGATGTTGGTACATAACTTACTATAATACGTAGGTGTAGTTTATTTGTAATATAGGTTTAGCGAAACTATAACTCTGATTTTACTCCTTATTTTACAAATATATAATCATTACAAAGTCATAAACCATAAAATGGCAACTAACCCCCCCCCCCCCCCCCCCCTATCACATCAACTAGTTCTCACCCGTTCTTCCAGTCCTACAAAGAAGTCGTAAAACGGGCTAAATATGGCTGTGGTTAAGAAAAATGTCTAAAATAATTAGTTACTTCGTTATAATTAAGTTTATACTTCAATACAACGATCTATTATTGCACAACATCGTCAACACATCCCTTGTCTAGTAGGTCATATCGTTTGGAGTACTTATACGTTGTCACACACGATCTAATTACGGAACGGTGTGGTCCCCATCGAATTTGAAATGGTTCAAAATTCTAAATCACATTCCCGTCCGAGCAGGTCCATGAAGTTTTTAACCACAGAAAGTTGCAGCTACGTTCATTCCGTTCGCAAACAGTTTAAAAACAATACAGCAACGTTTTTAAAAAACGCATTAATACGTCCTTAAACAGTTTAAAGTTAGTTAGTTCTAAAGAATCGTATATTAAGACTTCGTCTCGTGCCAATACAAAATTTCTCGTGCACAATATATCCTGTATTGCACTTCAAATCATTCAATAACTTATTATGACACGTATCCCAGATGTAGGCAATTGATTACATTGACGTGATTTAATGCACTGTTGTCACGTGGTCTGATATGCATTATAGAAAAAATGTGATCAGTGTAGTATGTTTCCAAGTTCATGAGGTAAGTTTACAATAAACTACGGTGACATATGGCGTAACAAAGTTTGTTGGCAACAATACTTGTGGCATATATGCAGTGGGAAACGGAAGATGTACCACTATGGTCGGCATGATCTTTGCCAAATTATTATTTCAAATTAACTTTCGATACAAACGTGAAACATGGACTTGTAGGGCGATTGAAAATGCCAGATAAATGTCTAGGTATATATCACGCAATCAGCCTATAAATAACCAAGATACTCACTCCAACTGACTATGAACTGAAATGCATGCAATACTACTGTAGTAATATATATCAACAACAATATCTAGTAAAACAGAATGTCAATGAAACAGCTGCAATTCAAAATTAAAGGTGGTATCAAATCTAGCACGTAGTAAAAGTAGTAGTCGTGACAATGATTGTTTCAATCTTAGAATATTTCAGGCTTAAATTTTTAAACTTTTGAAAACTTTTGAAAAATTCCCGGGAGCGAGATGGATATCTTATATCTGTCCGCATTTTGGCCTGGAGCGGGACTTGTACAATATATCCTGCCCGCTCCTCAGATATGATATATATTCCAGGGTGATATACCCCCAAGCTCACAAGTATGAGAAACATCATTCCATGTCATGTCAATTTTCTAAAGTGTGTATACTTGTGAGGAATATATAAGATTTTTACAATTAAGCATTTATAAATATGGCTACTATACCATCTTTTATTATTGAGGACAATTTGAACATTTTTCTTAAACAACTTTTTTGCCTGTAACAAAGTGTTGCACCCTCGAAGGTACGATTTTTCTTTTTTCACGATTTCACGAGTTGTGAAAAAAATCTTCACGACCTCTTTGGCACACACATGTGTCAGCATCATATGTTTATGAACATCTAATGATTTGTGAACGAATAAAAAAAGTATATCGATGATTCTGTGGTCTCGTAAACCATTCATTTTGATTTTCTAAAACATATAATACTGACACAGTTTTTGTCAAAAATCGGAGATTCTGCCTACATCTCTTGAGATCAAGGAAAAGGTAAAATCGTACCTTCGTAGCTGCGACATTTTTTCGTAGCATTTGGAAGAGTAACTCCACACTTATATAGGTAGGTCAACTGTACATGTTGCTTAAAATGTTGTCACTCCCAAAGATCTGATTCTCCCTTTAAGGATAGCAGCATAACCGGAGCATAATAGCCTCGTTTTATTAGTGCTCCGTCGTTTGTTTCTATCAGTCTCAAGACTCATCCATAAATCAAATCCACCGCAATCTGGTTTTGAGTACAGATCAAACTCAAAATAAAAGCTGTAATATCATTTTCGCAATAACATCGAGTGGATTTCAAAGGATACATTTCATAAAAATGTAAATGTATGCAAAATTCATTTGTTGGGAGAAGTGTAGTTTTAGTACAACAGCCTTGCAATGTAAATACCATGTCTGCTTGATATTATCGTTCTCTAGACGACGGATGGTTAAAAATACTATATATTAAATGAGCAATTAATTAACTGGTCACCTTGACACCATCCCTTAGAGATCTTGAATGCTTCTGATACTCAAATTAAGCCAGACTTGTAGGGTACTGTCCTATTTTCATTAGAAGACGATGGCGTTCATTAATCTTAGCGGAGATCATTGCCAAAAGCATTACATTGCCTGATGTCTGTTCTTGTTGAAACCACGTGAGGCATCGTATTAGTATGCTTATCAACACGCCCATGCCCTTGTTGTCTCTCGAGAAGGAGATCTACATAAGAACTCTTGACTAGACAACTGTACGTACTTTGTGTATGAAATGCGTGGCGCATCTACAAGTTGCGATCCATACATATTCTGATAAAAATCTTTTCATTTTACATGTCAATGCCTTGTATTAATGTGGAGGAAGGAACGGACGTCCTTTGCAAGGGTGTATATTATATCATCTATCGACAGTCTATTGAGATAGGGACACCGTGGTTCCCCAAAACGGTAAACAAATTGTAACTTGTTTCCTCGTGCTTAATTGCAATTGTGTTTTAATGATTTATATTTAATCAATTCAAATCTAATATTTGCATACATATACTGTATATATTAAATTGCCGCTTATGTTGTAAAACCTTGGCAATTAGCTAATTGAAATCTATTGTAATTGTTTTATATTAAAAATAAATTGATAACATGAACAAAAAAATATTCAAATCCGAAAATTGTTTTTGATTTAGCAAGTGGAATTGACCCAGGACACATTTTGACGCCTATATATACATCCCAGTTAACTTGATATGTTAAGCATAATGTTAAAACATATTTTATTATCGATATCATTTTGTTTCATATAGTTTTTTGCAATATATTTTTCAAATGATTAAAGAAACGTAATACCTTATTCAAGAAAATGCACTAAAATAAATATGAATAATTTTTACATCATTTGCTATTTAGGAACTACTAACTGCTGTGATTGGCAAACGTGTACTTCATTTTAAAGCCGAAGTAAATTCATTTAGTCTGATTATTTGATGCTTGATGTCATGAATCTTTTTTATATTAAGAATGGAAAAAAACATCGGTTGAAGAATTGTAAAAACGTAATTTTGACACTGCAAGAATTTCTGATTATTTATGAAAAAAGTCGGAGTATGTTTTGTGACATGACTCTCTGCACCATACGACAACATATTTCTCTTAATCAGCAAAATGACTCTCCCGACAGTCTATGTGGTATATTCGAAGAAACCATAACTCTCAAATGTCAGAGTTTCTTCTAACGCAAGAATCAATGATCTTATCAATAGAGACAAGTCTATCAAGGCAAAGTATGTTACTCATAGAGTTATTAAGTCAATATACAGCACTAGCATTGATAACTTGATATTGAGCTATTGGACAAAGTAATTGCAATTGATCTTGGCAATGACGAGTGACGAGAGTCAGTTGCTTTGGGTATGCAGTTGATGCATAACATACGTCAATTTCTATCAACTGCGTAGGACCACTTCAGATAATTGGAATAAGGACTAGAATTGTACAAATTAATAGTCTGAAGATGCAGTCATAGTTGAGACGTTAATGCTTGGAAAGAGGTTTATTGGTTTCTTCATGAGCTTTGGTATCAAATCCTACGTTATGAATAAAAAACATATTTACCTGACACGTCTTCTTCCGAGAGTACAAAGCTATCAACGCTTTTTGCTGAAAATGCACCAATGGAGGTTGAACTTGCTCCTGAAGCCACTGAATCTTTGGTGCCACTTCGTGGCCTTGAAAGGGTTAATCCTATGTTGCTAGAGTCCAGACTGACAGGTAATGAAGTTGGTCTGGCCCGTGATTCTTTTGCCCCACTCATACCATGTGGTACACTGCCATTGGAACCCACTGCTTTGGGAGTTTGACTGTTAGATGTTGTGTCAATTGGGGTATCAAATACTGTATGTCCATTCAATATAACTTTTGGTACATCCTTATTGGTCATAATAGGTGGGGCTCCATTTTTGCGAGGCACTGTTGTATCAAGGAACTTTGCACTACCATTGTTCAGGTAGGTTGAGTTTGAAGACTCATACGACAGTACAGAATGACTTGGGGAAAGGCTCTCACTGTAGGACTTGGTGCTTAGTATAGGGGAATCATTTACTCCTATACCCAATTGCTTTTTAGCTATTTTGGGTGAGGGGAAAACAAAACAATTTTCTTCACTTGATAGATTGCGTGGTGAAGGGGATTTAACACGCCTTGGGCTGTTCCCTAGTTGAGGATTTATATAGTATGTATGTGTCTCCTCGTTGCCTTTAGCGTCAGTCGTGGCTATCACATCCTTGAGTTTATCCTCAATCACCTCCAAACTTAGAGACTCCTCCACAAAGTTTACTTTCCCTTTAGAGATATCTGAAGGCTGGATCCCATAATGTATTGACCGATAGGTGGCGCCGGTTTGGCTAGGGGCACGGCATAGTAGGCTTATTTCACGCTTAAAATGTCTATCAAACATATGATCCAGTATTTCACAGCTGTCCGGGAATTTGAAGTGGCAATGATAGCATCGAACCGTCGGAGCTTGCACTGAAACATACCAACACTGGCTGATAACGTGCTATAAATATAATTCAAAAGTATAACAAACGTATGCCCCATGCCAGGATTGCCTCTGAAAAATATTATGGCAGGTTTAAAAATAGAATTGCATTTGATTCTACTTGTCCTCTTCAATCATATTAATGACTCAACTCCACTAAAGTACTTAACAATATCTTCTAGCTCATATATATCATTCTAATGATCGATTCTTTCCCACTGGTTTATTTAGAATCCTCCAAATACTATCCTCCGAAGACTTAGATCTTAGAATGCCATACACAAGGTAGAGGGAGAAAATCATAAGCTCACCGATTCTTGGAATAGCTTTTTATCGGGCAAAATAACAGGGTTGTATAGGGGCTTGATGCAAGACTACATTTGGAATCACTCCCCATTAGTAATCGATTTAAATAAGTTATTTACAGGCACAGTTCATAAGAACACGATTGTCTAAGACAAGGCTGACATCTGAACATATATCTTCTTAACAACGAAATATTCAAACTCTTGCAAGGGAATTCATTAGTTAATATCTTACCTGGAATCGCCGATAGCGAATTCACATCCATGTCCGATGTCGTTCTGTTTAACCAATCTACAATACAAACGAATTGACAGTCTTAATATATTGGAAAACGTAAGATCCAAGATGCTGATCGATCATGGATTATTCATTTTTCACATAATATCTATTGTAGTAAGTTGATATTTATAGAACCGTTTAATAAAATAAAATCATAAGCACTTAGGGAAGCAATCACTATATTCTAGCACCTATACTGTAGTCTCCCTTTGGTATCAAAGACAAGAGGTACACGTACAGTAGGGTGTATATTTAGATCCTCCACTAAGGGCATATCAATAACAACCATCTTATCGGCTTTAACACATTGTATGTTACCATCAAAGTCAGGCTTATCCTCAGAGACACCAGTATTGATACAATGAGGCCAAAGCAAGTAAAGATAACGTTGAAGATCAATGCCTTCCGTTTATATCTCAATAAGTCATGTATAGTATAGGTAAAAAGATATCGTTTCAACAACGTGGTCTTATCTATTGTATATCTATTGAGCATGTAATATAGACAAGGGTAAAGAGAACTTCGTATGTTTCCCCAATATGTAAATCGATCCTGATTGTATTGGCCTTAATGCTCTAAATAAATGAATTGATCGTGATATATTATAACCAACCTAAGTATCGACGGTTCGTTGAACTTGAAACCTCTTATGGGTAGACGTCCTGTTCCATAATTGTGAAATACTCCATGATTGAAGTGATAACGTGGAGAGCTCTACTGTGTTGTTATTCCTCACTAATATTGCCAACTAGGGAACGATATTCTTGGGAGATCGCTGTACACGTTTCCCAATATAAAGCAGACTCCTTGTATGTCGCACTGGTACTGGAACCTGGTTGTACCTTTACTTTTAGATCTTCAGTTTCATTCGATATATGGCGAAAACTATTCCAAATGCGAATGATTTTAGAAACTGATTTGCAGTATATCCAGTAATTTGTGGTGGTTAGTTCCTTAAAGTGAGTTGTAAAGCTTCCCACATCATCTCAACCAAGCGTGATTCACTGTAGGCTTTGCCCTAATGAGAGGCCGATTTCGAGTTGTGTTTTAACACCTGAAACGCAGAAATGCACTGAGATATCATTCGCTTGTCGATCTGAAAATATTCCAATTACCTGAAAAACACCATCTCAATTTATTCAGAGCAGCTCATTTTCCTCCTTAATTTGACATCGATTTTGTATGAAGCCTTCTATTTTCGTCAGTTACTTGATTAAATGTAATATCAAAAATAACCTCAGTAGAACAACAACGCTTTGACATTTAACCACTGATAATGATTGATAAGTATTATTTTCAAACTCTTCAAATTATGAATCTGACCACTTAAACCCCTATTTAAACCTATTTATAGCCCTTATCGATAAATTGTTCACAACTGTATATAACAAATTGTTTCACCTAACACCTATTCCCCAGCTTTCGTAAACTCCACGTCCAGGTCGACCCTGTTTGATCTGTAAAGATTCCCGATCTATCGAAATCTTTCGCAGCAATAGGTTTACTTTTAGATGTCAGAATGAATCAGAGATACTTATTTTGCTCCTAGAAATCCAACGAGGCCAGAACACATGCCAGCTAGCCGAGTTCAAAGAACCTCGTATCCAAGTACATCCTATACTATACCAGGTTAATCGTTTACATTCCACTTATTTATTATTCGTTTCCTCAATCTTATTGAATGCACACCTACCTTTGTTTATGTTTCCTAAAATCTCTGGTAAGTTAGCGGTAAGGTTGCCTGTATGTATATGTGTGTGTGTAAGCAATAATTCCAATGTGCTGACTTGCTTACTTGCTTGCTTGCTGCTTGTGGTCGATACTTGATAGTTCACGAGCTAGGGCTATAAATCAGCAGCTAACTATCCTAGTCCTGCATAAAACCCCAGAAATATGCTCAAATATGAGCTTGTTATTGATGAGGCAGTTCAATTATAAGATTGACAAAATTCACATGTTTTTCTGGCTTGTATGCGGGACTGTAACTGCAGTAATACGATTATGAGTCGAGCTGATAGTCATAACCAGTCAAGTGCCCTTTAAAATTACATTTTGTTTTATGTGTCCTGTTGTTAAAGTATGTAATATGTAGGACTTTAGGCGATACTCTAGCGGAACTCATGTTGTAACACACACATTTATAATGACCCTAAAAGTTGTTTTCTTGTTGGCAACACGATCGTGGAATTTTAATTGAATGGAAACAAATTTGATATGGGACCCTGAGTGTATTGCTTTTGGGTAATCTCTGGAAACGCTTAAGTCTCATCTTATCATATCCATTGAACATAAAAACAATTCCTCCATCTCACTCAAAATTAGCTTCAAAAAGTTAAAAACTAGATGGTGGAAATGTGGAGCTACCGCTTTACAAATTTCCAGTAACTCGAAAAGTGCTTTACTCCCAGGAGAATAATATCTTATTTAAGTTTTACCATAAGTCTGATTGGCTGATTCTATCACGTGTCCATAGATGAGAAACTGGTAGGAGACCCTCTTCATGCTCTTCCTCAAGAAAAAACAAAGTGGTGACATTTAAGATGGTTGGCAATTATAACAGGCGGTTACAATAGAAGTTAACTTGTTATTCATTTCATGACCTTGTTATTTTAGTTTAATAATGCACAGATTTTATGAGTACAGTAACCATTGCGTATACTAGTTGTGTAAACCCATCAATATTATGAGAAAACCAACAAGTGGTCCTTAAAATTCAAATCGCATATTAGAATATAATATTTCATTAATATTTGATAAAACGAGTAACTTTGATTTGATTGGTTGTTAACATAATACGTAACTATACATGTATGTGTAAACCAATCATGTAAACTATAAAATACAAATGTATGTTTAAGTAAGTTAGATATGTTACACCCCCTCCAAAAGTTTGCAAACAGAAGTACCCCATTGAATAACGTGTTATTGTTGACAGACTGATTTTATATTCGTACTTTATTTTGTTCCACAGTTGCGTATGGGAATTTGTAACTTTGTTAAATCTGCTAAAAGTTGCCAGCCATAAACAGGATAACAAGTTGTTCAAAGGTGGACTTTTACTTTCCAGGTGGTGGTTAGATTAATTCATCTTACACGCATTCGGTAGTTATGACATCATACGAAATGAAATCGCTCCTGTTTAAACAATTTTGAAATTTTGGTTTAGTATGTTGAGCGCTAGTCATAAATTCCAGAACTATTTTGCAACTGATGAGCAAAATCAACGAGAATATGTTTCCTGTCTTTTAGTCAGACAGAAATGTCTGTTCACTTGGATCTACTGCCACCAGTGTACTTAAAGTTCCTTCTCCTTATACTGGATAGCGCACATTTCATCACTGGGGCAACGCTGCCGGGACTCATACGTGTAGTTCGAGGACGGTGTCATTATACGTGTTTGCCTACGTATGAATGTTCAAATATTTCCCAACATGTCACCTGTTTGTTACATATGATCAATCATTATCGTTTGTTCAAACACTTTATGCTCTTGCAACTGATATTGTTTGTTTGGACACGATGTATCGTAGCAAGCTATAGAATCGTCAACTTACACTCCCATCCAAAAGTTTGGCAAGTCTAACTCTTCAATTATAGACTCCATGTTTATGTTTAAGTTCTTAGAGTATTAAAACCTCTAAATGAAATATTACTTAAACGATCGATTCCCTTTACATGTACCCCCAAGTAAGTTTAATTTATCTTTACCTTTTGGTGTATAGGTAATGCAAATCCAAATCAAAACATATGTAAGTTGGAATGTTTAAACGTTGTATCATCCGGAGGCTGAGAAACAACAAATAAAATGTTTAAAACACTCAAGGTGTACTGTGTTGTTATGACATACATGTAGTGTACTGTATGTAAAGAAATGGAATCATTTAACAACAGCATATATCTTAGACACTGGTCAAGGAGGATTGGCTCCCAGAGTGCACCACCGATATTCTGTCCCATATATGGGTATGTCGTAATACAAAATTCGAATTCAAACAGCCGCCATTTTGTTCACTTCAACATTTAAATCGTGAATTTTGGTCTTATTTCCAAACGAAAAATTCCAAAACTCACAAGAAATGATCGAGATATTGGTTCGAATCTTTTGAACTGTTTATTTTGAATTTATAGTCGGTTTTAATTTCAGAAAATAACGACATTTCGACGTTTTCATTGTTGGAAAATATCGAGTTTCGATCCTGGGAGCCAATCCTCCTTGGACACTGGTGAAAGGTGAAGACCAGAAATTACCTTATTAAGAAGTAATCGAGTCAGTAAACACCCCCCCCCCCATCCCATAGCCCCAAAAAATTAATTGAAAATATAATTGTTCTAATATAAATATTTTTGGCCCACATTAATCTTCATATACTCTGTTTGTGCATTGTGTTCATTTTTCTAGATAATGTGGATATGATCCATTAGATATGATCCAAAGAAATTGTTCTGATTCGACGATCAGAATATCAGTTTTGATTCGAAAGGTTTCTCTCCATTTTGACATTTTGTTTTCTGATGATACCCAGTTCAATTTACATCAGCTCTGCTGGAATACTGACATAGTTGGGATAATATGAATTACATGTTTCTCTATGCCAGTTTCAAAGGCATTTTGAGCAAGATTGACCCATTCAGCTACCCGGGTTCAGCTATCTATGCAACATTCAGTGATTGCACTTACCCGAGTAGCACTTAACGTATCATCCCAATTTGGCAAATAACGATGTGTTTCCAGGTACTTGATTGGCACGCTAACGTATGGCGAGTTTGTAACCTCTGAGTGTGTTACTTATGCTAAATAATGCAATTTTGCTTTGTAGTTATCATTCCCAGGATTTTTAACATACATGTTGCTGATAAGGTCACGGTTATAGCAATGAGAAACGTCAAATAGGTGAAGCCTGTTTTTGTAAATAAATGCCTTGGGCATTATGGTCTTGTTTGGTGTTTCAATTATGTCGCTTTTTGTGTATTATGATTTACCATGCCCTATGGCAAGCAAGAACATGTGCTCCATCTTAAGATCTGCTTTCAGTATACGTTCACCCTTTTCTAGAGCTGGATCAATTTTGCATCTGAGAAAAGATGTTCATCTGGTAATTCTTACTAATCTCTGGCCCTTATATCTGATAGTGTGTATTCTCAGAGTTCGATTTGATGTTGTTCGATCCAAACATTCGATTTGCACACATAACATAACATAATTTCTTTTTTCGGATATAAAGTAAAAATTTATTGGCAAAGCAATTTTATCTCAAATTTACATGCATTCATATAGGATTAATGACAATGAAAGACGTTTTTGTTTACAAGTCTTTTACATAGGTATGTTCTCATATATCAACCAGTGATTCATTTGCATGGTAAGTTAATACAATGCCATATCATATGTTAACACATGATAGTCAACAAGATGCTATAAATACACTAGTACAAATCACAGAAATAAAACTATGCCAGGCAGATTAGTAATATGCAATTTACAGCGTACCTGGGTACCACAATAAATGCACGTAGTATACGTACTTTACATGTTCAAGCTATTAGCACATATCACATAAAAAGCAAACAACTTAAAAATATATTTCCTCTTCCCTAACAGTTTTGAAAGCATATATAATTCTATAGTATGTGCTGTTCGATAGTCAGCGATTCACTCCTGGTTACCAGTGAGTACGTCAAAATGCACAATGCGTAATCTAAGCATGTTTTTGAACAATTTGCAATTACGTTCGAGGTTGTAAATCTAAATAACACGAGAAAAGAACACGATTTACCAACGGCAAATATCCCGAACGTTCAAGTCGCTTTCGCTGACGGCATTGTTCGTTTTTTCTATGTAGCACGATGAAAATTAGCACAGATCCTGGGTTGAACTTATTGCTTTGATTTAACAAAGATAATTGCTGTGTCGAAATGATGAGCAAGTACTGAACAAACAAGCTTATCAGAATACTCAATGATAAGTAGATTCGGAACAAATATTCCGTTTGCTACATTTAGAGCCATTGCATCATGTCGTATTTATTTTCCTGTATTAATGGGCTTGGCAACGGGGTTACCGCTACGATGACTATCGTTTCCGTAATTAAACTTATACACACGTGGAAAAATGGCCAAAAAAATTATATTATATTTATTCATTTTTAGCATTGCATTGTCTCTTCTTTGTATGTTTGCTTGTTTGCTGCGGCGACTTTTGGCAGCAGTTGAAAGATGTCGCCATAGGCCACAATTGAATTATTCGTCAATATCGACGACGGCCACAATGACCAAGTGAAAGAGAGGGTACATGCATACAAAAGTACAACTTTTGGTTAATAATACGGAAACTATAGTAATCGTGTTACATACAACAATGTGATTGATAACCTAGTCACAGATTGCATGCAAAAGCAATAAAATCAATAGAATTGGCAATTTCAACATTTGAACATTTCCAGCTGTAAAAGCGCTATTCAGTGAATTTATCAACCATTGAAACTGTTAATGGTTTACAACATAGTACGTGATAGAGATTCAAAGTAAAATATCATTAACATTTTAATGAACGCATAATTATCAATCAGCTAAAGCACATTCGTTTATGGCATTTTATAATCTACTTTCATATCGTATCTACAAACGGCTGTTATTATATAAACGTACGGCAATGAAACGACTACAAAAGATACATATAAAATCGATTCAAAATGAGATGAAAACATAGCCTACAATGAATAAATTCTTTTCTATTTCATGCCCCCCCCCCCACCCTCCTACTAGCCCCAAGACATTGAAAAACATAACGTGTCCAGTTCTCAGACAAGAAAAAATTTTGGGCCCCTAAAATCAGAAAGTGGGCCCAAATTTTGAAATTTTGATTTATGACCAAAAAGGCCCACTTTTTGGGGCCTTAGACTTTTTGACTCAAAATCTTTTTTGGGCCCAATTTTTTTTTCAAGCCCACCCAAGGGGGGGGGCAATTAAAAATGAGATGCAAACATAGCCTACAATGAATAAATTCTTTTCTATTTCATGCCCCCCCCCCCACCCTCCTGCCAGCCCCAAGACATTGAAAAACATAACGTGTCAGACAGATTCTCTGGGTTTGAAAATATTTGAACGAAGTAGCACGATTATTCAGCATCTAAACAAAAATCTAAATGTTAGATGGTACAAAAGCCCTACAACTTATTTAAAATATTTACATTTTATGAAGAGACACTGGTTAGCACATTCAATACATATTATATTATGCAACGTAAGTTTATCATGACATTGTTGATCTAATATCATATTAACTTAGTCAGGAAAACCAGTATTTGTGAACTACAGCTTGTCCAAATTTTGGAGAAATTTTATACCCACACGGGCTTTGTTGGCTAGTCTAATTGTTAGTATATCCTCGACGCTATGTCTTGTTTGAGTCACGATGTATTCCACCTGAGGATAATAAACCAATAATAACTGTAGAATGTATCCAAACATCATCAAATGCTGTCTTGAGATACTTATTTCATGGATCCACACAACTACTCTCAGTTTTCCTTGCGTGGAAATGCGAATTTGGGTAACATATAAACTTGATTGAACACTTTCCTGAGAGCCAGTGCCTGACTATTCGTCTATAGCGTCATGTCTTGCCATGGTCTCCTGAATCCAAGGAACATAGTGAGATACCCTCGCGTAAACACCCGGGTTGTTCGGGGACGCACACTCGCCTGGAACACACATATACAGGAGTGCATGACAACGTTTTCCCTTTTAAAGTAACCGTTACATGAGAATGTAATATTATCACTGTTCCACAGCTGGATGACTCTAGCTGCAGTTAGCTTCATCCAAGATGGTTGCCGAGATTCTTTCGTTTTCGATAAACCTCCGATTTCAGCTAAACTAAGTTGAATCTTGATTTCAAAAGTTTCGTCCTGCAAATTAATAAAACAACAAATGCTCAAACACCCGCAATATTAGAGAATTTTAAAGATAACGGCTTCACTTAGAATGACTCTAACTGAAGTTAATGATCTATGTCATCATTACGTCATTATCAACTTCAGTCATTCCTGAGTCATTCCTGAAGTGAAGCCGTTTTCTTTAAAATTCTCCAATATATTGTTTGAGCATTTATTTGTAGTTATTTACCATCGTAGCTTTATTCATTTGCATGGCGAAACATTTGGAATCAAGAATCAACTTAGTTTAGCTGAAATCGGAGCTTTATCGAAATCGAAAGAATTTCGGCAACCAACTTGAATGAAGCTAACTGCAGTTAGAGTCATCCAGCTGTGGAACAATGATTATGACCCCCATAGATTACTGTCCTCTGCCTCGCCATTGGTAGAGGCCTATTTACAACTACCTTCCTTACTTGTACCTTTATTGAAATCGACCAAGTTTACGAGTTTATAATTTTACACGTTCACGTACATGTTTACTTAAAACGTATAGCGTAACATCCCTATTATGTATCCACATGGTTGCAATTAAAAAAGTGTAACAATTTGTCACAACAGTGCTGAAACTAACGAAAACCAGTCACACTATGGTGGCTCTGTTTCAAAACGTCTTGGTACTGACTGCTATGGCAACATCTAGATATTGTGTGAACAATATGACATGCATAAATTGTCTGGTATCGTGGTCACCCCCCCCCCCCCCCCAAAAAATGAATGGCCTTGGATTATATATAAAATACTGATAAGAAATTAAAGAAGGCCCATGATTCGAAGCCTAAGGATCCGGAGATATCAATTATAGATAATGATGACAGCCAATTTCAAGATGACACCATATCTATTAGTTCTTTAATGATAGCTCAAAATACAAGCAAAAACTGAAAACCATTAACAGATTGCGCCCACCATATTGGGCAAGTACAAGTACAATCTGAAATGCCAAAAACATTCAATTTCTCTTGACTAGATTGTTTAAATTATTTTTCAAATATTCAAATACTCCACAATACATAAAACACATAGCATTTTTTCTTTTAACAATTTTATCCTTGGCTGTGTTTTTTGGACATAATAGCCAAATTTTTACACAGTTCATAATAGGCAAATTAAGCATTTTTAACTTCCCATATGTGTGACATTTCCAGGAATGTTGGCTCCTTTCGGTCTCTGATGGCCATCTCCACCAGATATTTCTCTGTCAACTGATAAATGAATGTTTTATTGAGATCGCATCTAAATAAAAAGAGTCTTAGTGTTTCTGACTCTTTTCCACAGGCACAGATAGGAGTAGAATTGCTGTTAACATTATGCGAGTGGAGTTGTGAATTAAGTAGCAAATCACATCTTATCTACAATGTGTCTCAAAAAAATGTTACACTTACAAAAAGTTCAATATCTTTCATAATTTTGACTTTTCCCCTAAAGCATACTTTGGATACCAAAAGACAAATCTTTCTCGAATAATTTGACACCATCAAATTCAAAATCTGTCATTGATTGGGTCCACAGGACAGCTTTTAGTGTTCCATAGTAAAATCTGACTTGCGCCAACTTCTAAGTGATTGGATGGACCAAAATAATGATAAAAGAGGAACAGTTTCTTTAATATTTAACTTTCTTCTGAGTAGAAGCTTGACCTTTAACTGTGTCATTCTGTAATTTTCCTATTTGTCTTACAAATCTGAGGTACCCTTGCCCATGCGCACATGCATTGTAATACCACACTGATTTCATCAATTATTTTTCCAGAAGTTCATTTAGGTCAGTTTGTGATGCTGTAAAGCGCTTTCAGAGGCCCTTCAAAAAACCAAGGGTGTAAAGTGGGATGACCCTGGGGGCCAATCCATTGGGTAATCCAATGCTATCTTCTGATTTCTGGCCAAAGAGTTCTACCAAACGATCTGCCACAGGCCGTAATCCAATGCTATCTTCTGATTTCCAAAGAGTTCTACCAAACGATCTGCCACAAGCCTTTTCACCATCCTGTTGCCATCATACGTAACAACATTGAACACTCTGACAATTAAATCTTATATTTTAGCATTCACACCAAAAAAGAATCGATCACCACATGTCCAACCACTGAGAAATTGGCGCAAATCAGATTTCACATGCGTCTATGAAACGTTTCCTGTGCAGCCAATCTTGGACGGATTTGAATCTGATGGTGTGGATTTATTTGAGAAAGACTTGGCTTTTGGTATCTAAGTATACTTTAGGGGAAAATTCAAAATCATGAAAGATACTGAACTTTTTGTAAGTTTTTTTGAGACACACTGTATTTATATATATAAAAACATTTCTTGCTTTCTTGTAATTTTCAGAGAAACAGTTGATAGTACCCCGGACAGGTTGTATGATGCAGTCATTTTTTTACTCTATATTTGCAATAGAACAACCATTCTTATTGAAATTTTCAAGATTTATTCTAGAGACAATTTCCAACATGGAAAATAAATATTTTATCAAAATTTTCAATTTTATGATTTTGACGGGCTTTTTTTCAAAAATACTACACAGTCAATAAAATACAGCTTTTTGCTTGAACAATTGAACTTTTAACGTCATTTCAAATATTGTCTGGCTATTGAATTTACGGCCGCCTAAAATCTTTCCAGATATATCTGTTGCCATATTAATAATTGTGGCTGATTATTGTTATTCACTTAAGTCATATTCAGTATTATTACAGTGCATTAGGCCAATAAAAACGTGTTGCTCTGGGTCTCTAAGCGTTCCCTAGATTGAGCCCAGATAGAGGAGGTCAATCTTCTTGTCCACGGACATGAGTTCAACCCGGTCACTGTTTTTAATAAAGCCTATCAAAATCATAAAATTAGGGATTACGTTAAAATATTTTTTTTCCATGTTGGAAATTGTCTCCAGAATAAAATAGGAAAATTTCAATAAGAATGGTTGTTCTATTGCAAATATCGAGTAAAAAAACGACTGCATCATACAACCTGTCCGGGGTACTAATGGAAATGATCGTGTTGCGATGAATATGCTTGTCATTAGCTTAGACTATAAACCATATGTTAATATAAAAAGCTTTCTTAGTCCTTATCTAGCTATCATTATGACGACACAAGAGTGCTCTTATCCATATGAAAACACTCTAGATGATCCTAACAATACTTTGTTGCTCTGGGTCTCTAAGCGTTCCCTAGATTGAGCCCAGATAGAGGAGGTCAATCTTCTTGTCCACGGACATGAGTTCAACCCGGTCACTGTTTTTAATAAAGCCTATCAAAATCATAAAATTAGGGATTACGTTAAAATATTTTTTTCCATGTTGGAAATTGTCTCCAGAATAAAATAGGAAAATTTCAATAAGAATGGTTGTTCTATTGCAAATATCGAGTAAAAAAACGACTGCATCATACAACCTGTCCGGGGTACTATAATATAGTATTATTCTTAGAGGTGATTATGCTGATTAATTTCAATGATATTTGGTTCAGATACACTTCTTTCAATAGAATTTATGCGAGTGACCCATTTAAATGCCCCACCCTGTATATCGTCTCAGAAATCACATTTTAGTGATGTCACGTGTTAACGCTGAAATTTCACGAAGGGTATCAGTTTTATTCTATATTAAATTGTTAATTTCATAATGCTGCATATAATCAAACGATTCGGTTTACTATCCAGACATGAACAACATATGTGTATCACTTTTGCATATTGGATAGCCTATAGTTAAGTGAGAAATCAGAAATTATAGGCCACGGACTTTTTTGTCATTGCTCTTCGAAAATGACAATTTTCATCCATTGTCTAATATAATATTTTGTTGATTTTCTAACAAAAAGGCCACATTTATTAGAAATCACAACAAAATTGAAAGTTTCGCATACAAGTAGGCCTATCTGATTTTTTTGATTTTTTTATTTCAAAGAATAAGCATGTTAAAGCAATTGCAAAAAACAATCACAATACAGTTGCATGTTAAACATACATTTTACAATTTTACAATACAGTATTGGTTAAACCTTAGTCTTCAAGAAATGTTACACCATTGGCAGTTTTTTATTTAAAGGAAAAATCATCATTATCATTTGTTTAATTTTGCTTCTATGATTTTCCACTTAAAGCCTCTGCCAATCCGTTTGTCCATAATAAAACATTCCTTCACATTACTTATAAAACCTTTAAGGGTTGGTTTTAGCATAGAATATTTGCACAAATAAACATACCTTTTAAAAATACATAGCATATTATTTAGGATGATTGTTTTTTCATTTATACTCTCCACTTGTGGTAAGACTACATATTACATAACGATAAGGGCCAAAATTGTTTTGAACTTTCCACAGAACCTTTTACTGTCAGCTACGGATTACTTCCCCCACGATGGCCGTGACATCGTCCAACATCATTTCTTGCATTTCACAATGAAATGTTTCCTAATTTTATCATCACTTTTCGCACAGTTAATTAGGAATTCAATATCCTGATGGTTCAAGGAAAGATTAAGGAATAAATTAACAGTTGACACCCCACGATTTATCGCCATTTGATTCTAGAAATAAAGCGCAAAAATAAGACTAACAATGACATTTACGAGAGTAGAACGCCTAATAGTAATCAGTCTGTACATTGTAGATGCATTACCCAAAGGCGAAATCATTTTCATTAAACACATGGGACTGTCTCAAATACATTTTGTTTAAGATAATCGGGTAAAAACTAATACTGGTATTTTTATCTTAAGCTTAAGACTTTGAGTTAACCCCTTGGTTCATTAGAGCGTATTT